CGAGTTTGACAGTCCATTCATTTTCACTGTATGGAAAAGAGCAGCAGGAACATACTGCTAAACATCTCTTTTTGTGTTTTACGTAAAAAACAATAAAAATGATGACAAAACTGTCATTTTTTGGGGGTTAACTGTCTCTTTAAAACCCTGCAGATAGACTCTAAAGTGGGGGGATGAAATATTTGCTTTCCTTTTTCATTTTAGATGGGAGACTAATCCTAAATAATCCTTTTGAGGAGGTTCAAATCTGGTGGTAAACATTGTTGCAGACACATTTTGCTTGTTCGGTGCAAAGGCTCATTCCATATTCGATGCATCATCTCTGACAAATTTCGCTCTAGACTGCTATAACAGTGAGCGTGAGTGTGTGTATATGTGTGTGTGTGAGGAAGGAGACATCATGAGGCAAGCCTCATGAGATATAGAGAATGACTCAGCGCTCTCGGTTAAAAGAAATAGGATGAGCTCACAGGCAAGCGGACAGTCCTGTCCAGTGGTCAGAAATGCGAATACTGCGAAGAGTAATAATGAGAAATATTATTACAGTTTAAAATAACGGTTTTCTATTTGAATGTATTTTAAATTTAAATGTATTCTGATTCTAGTCATGGCGGGATAGCAGACTGTAATGAGACACTTCAGAGCACAGAGAACCTCCACCATGATCCCATATGTCATGTACTGTCAGAGATAACAGTTACTGCATCAATTTATCACGCAAAAGAACAGCACTTCAATGTGAATTCTGCATTATCTTTGACGTTTAGCGTCACGTTGTATACATTTAAACTGGTATGTATACAAAAAAGGAATAAAAAATGGAAACAAATGCACATCCAACAATTAGCATATGTGTCTTTGCCTCAGCTTCCAGTGAACTCATGACACATGAAATGCCAGGGGCTTTTAATAGAGACAGAATGAAGCAGAATAGAAATAGAGAACAACAATGTAATGGTTAATGATTGGTTTACCTAAAAAATGTGAAATGACCTTGCTATAGTGTGAACGGTAAATTGACCCCCTACAATCATTGTTTTAGTGTGGGTACAGAACCCCATAATAAACCCAAACCCCTAAACACACTGCATAAATTAGAATCAAATGTTTGTTAAAGAATTTAAGGGGAACTGCTGATAATGATATAATTTCACGAAAAAACATGATGAATCCAAACCTGTTCTGTAGAGGAATATTGGAACATTTATATTTTTTACAAAACGTCCTGCATAAAAACTATTTCAAAATTCTAAATGCTGTTTTTTTTTAATTAATCAGAGAATCTTGAAAAAAAAATATTTGTAGGTGTACACAAAAATATCAAACAGAACAGAATCATTTCTGAAAAATCATGCAACTCTGAAGAATAGAGTAATGGCTGTTAAAAAAAATCAGCTTTGCCATTACAGGAATAAATTACATTATATATATTCAGATAGAAAACAATTATTTTAAATCGGACTAATATTTCACAAAATGATTCTAATTTTTGATCATATGCAGCTTGGGTGAGTATAAAAGACCTCTTTCAAAAACAAAATAATCTTACTAACCTCAAATTTGAAAGTAGTAGTATAAACACAATTAACTAACACAGGAACACATAAAGACAAGAAAACAATGTTTGCCCTTTACAGCAAGGTCAAAAATCTCTATTTTATGCAAACACATACAACCCCTCTCTCCAGTCTATGGCCCGACAGCAAGACAAAGAAAGCATGTGGTAAGCTGAGCCCTCTGCTGGAAGAAAATTGCATTTTTCTTGATACACATCCTCAGTATGTGTACATGCTGTTACAAATGCCATCTCATTTCTAGAGGCTTCAGTGAGACACTGAGCTCAAGAAAGGAGGGGGGAGAGGGGGTGCAGATAGACAGACTGTGGCACCATACCTAATCTGCAAAA